AAAAAAAAAAAAAAAAAAGTAGGTGTAAGATTCTTATTTTGGAATTGACCAGTCTTATGAAGTTTTCATAGTAAATGTAATAATATTTAGGGTCTTTACTAAGTTAACTAATGGATCTTTCTTAAAAACCATTCCATAAAGGCCTTTGAGTATTTTAATTGTTCTCAGGCAGGTGAACAAACCACCAAGAAGAAGAAAAAAGCCTCGATTATACGTGTGTCAGATTACTTTTTTTTTAAATATTTTTTTTTAATCCTCACCTGAGGATATTTTTTCCACTGCTTTTCAGAGAGATTGGAAAAGGGAGTGGGGGTCATCCATGTGAGAGAGAATGTCAATTGTTGCCTCTGGCTCGTGCACTGACCGGGGCCAGGGATCGAGCCTGCAACAAGGTGCATGCCCTTGGCTGGAATCGAACCTGGGACCCTTCAGTCCGCAGGGTGATCCTCTAACCACTGAGCCAACCTGGCTAGGGAAGATTACTTTTTTTTAAGAGTGTCATTCTTTAATATGTGTTTATGAATTTTTAGAGAGGAAGGGAGAGGGAGAGAATAGAAACATCAGTGAGAGAGAAACATCATTAGTTGGCTACCTCCTGCAAGTTCCCTACTGGGGATCAAGCCCACAACTGGGCATGTGCCCTGACCGCAGTCTAACTGACCTCCTGGTTCCTGGGTCGACACTCAACCACTGAGCCACACTGGCCAGATTACTTTTTAGTTTACCTTCTGTAAGAAGAGCTTTGCTGGGCTTTCAGGAAGGTCCCTGTGATTACTTCTAAACCCAGTTACCATTTCAGACAGTATTACCTTACTCCTTTGTTGCCCAGTGTTATCCTTAATATCCTTACATAAGCAATTGTAAACTGTTCTTCCAGTCTTTTTTATTAAATAAGCCTCTAAGAGAAAACAAGTTTCATGAGAATGGGACTGATAACTTACTGAGGCAGTAGATAGCCTGCTTAGGTTGGGTGTTTGTGTGTGTGCCTTTGTATTACTCACATGATTGCAAAAAATCTTCATGCCAAATGGGCATGGTAATTCAGTATTTAGGGAAATACTTTAAACTTTATCCTGAAAATGATGTCACAGCTGTTCCAAAGTTTTGAGATTGGGTGTGTATCTTGGCAGAACACACTGAAGCAAAATTACAGCCATTTTTGCCTAGCATTATTACTGACCCGTTTTGTCACATGATATAATTCAGTATCATAGAACCTTCAAGCATTGGAGCTATCTGGCTTGAAACTTCTGACATCATGGATATGTGGTCTACTTTGTTGTATACTTCAGATACAATTTGTAACCTGGATTTGCTTAGAACCTTTCCTTAATTTTTTAAATTTTTTATCTTTATTGTTTTCAGAAAGAGGAAGGGAGAGGAGGAGAGAGAGAGAAACATCAATGATGGGAGAGTCCCTGATCGGCTGCCTCCTGCATGCCCTCGACTGGGAATCGAGCCTGCAACCTGGGCAGGTGCCCTGACTGGGAATCGAACTGCAATCTCCTGGATCCTAGGTCGATGCTCAACCGCTGAGCCATGCGGGCCAGGCTTTTTAATAATTTTTCCAGCTAAAATAACATGGCAGTGAACATTCTTTGATATAAGTATTGATTGACATCTGTCCTTTAGTGTAGCTAACTGGGTCAAAGGATGTATGCTTTTTGAAGGTCTTGGCCGTGCTAATATATGGCCATATGGACTCTTCCTGAAAAAAAATTGGAGAAAATTAAAGTCAGCTATTCAGAGGAATACTACAATGAGTTAACTCTCTTTGCCTCAACTTTGGAATATTATTTGGAATTGTCCTGCATTAGTGATGTTTTTTATAAAACTCATGATAGTTGTAGTTTTGTCTTATATTTCTAGTATTTTAACTATAGGCAAAATAAGAATAGTAGAGGGGACTGCATAATTTTCTTAAAGCTGAGCCCAATGTTGTACTCAATCAGGAACTTGGGTAAATAATTTTTTTTTAATACCTGGAGAGCTAATGGTAAAGTGGGGAGAAAAACAGATCAAGAGAAGATGTGATTATAATGACAAAAGCTCAAGGTTTATATTTTTAAAAATTTTGCTATCAGGTGAGAAGAGCAGGATTTCATAAAAACCTCTAAAATTCTCAAGCAGAAGACCAAAAAATAGTGACTTGGAATGTGTTTGGATATACTTAAAATTTATTATGCTGTATAAGAATTGAGATGAAGCTTTTTATCTTTTCTTTGAACAGCTTTACTGTATGCTAGACCAGAAGTTTCTCCAGTGTCTATGAGAACCTTACATTAGTAACAGTGTAAAACAGAAAGTGTTTTCTCAAGGTATGCATAGAGTGCCAGTTTGGAAGTTTGAAGGTTGCTTAACCTAGTCTGGGGTATGGGTGGATTGATCATAGAAGAATAATGGAAGAAGTGATCTCTGAGCTGAACCTTGAAAGATGTATAGAAGATAGAGGTGTTTGAGAAGAGTGGTTCAGAAAAGCCCAAATCTGTGACACTGTATAGATAATAACTTCAACAAAGATTTCTGTACAGTTCAAGAAAAATCTAATTGGCATTTGTGGAATGTGTTTCCCAAGAGGGAAGTTTGAAGATTAGATTAGTAAAAAGGAGTTGAATGAAATGTGTATGGAACTAATTTGATACAGAAGAAATCTAAGAGCTACAAAGTTGGCTTAAAGTATTAGAGCTGAAAAGAACGAGGAGTAAAGTCTCATCTGAATCATGATGGAGAGTGATGGGAAGCTTGTTAGAAGTAAAGGTGTACCAGGACATGGACCATTACTGAATACATCTCACTT